CAACACGGCCATATTTTCTTCGAACGATTTCTGGATATATGATCCGTCTGTTGATCGATAGAAAGGATTAAAATCCTTAATGGAAATAACTCCTGATTCCAATACATCGGTTGTCATAGGAATCCAGAACGAATAAAAAGCTACAGGAAGCAAACAAGCTGCCACGGCATAACGCCAAACCTTTCTTTTCTTCTTTGGTTGTTCCGGAAGTTGCACGATTACCGGTTCTTCTTTTACAGCAGCTGGTTGAATCACTTCTTCCTTCTCTTCCACAACTGTCATCGGAACAACAGGTACGACAGGTTCTTCGGTGATTATTTCCACTTCTGCTTTCTCGGCCTGCGTATACGCCTGAACAGATTTCACTTCGTCATCTGTCATGAAATGCACCTGGCTCAAACCAAATGATTCCAATAATAGGTTAAAGAAACGATCTTGTTCGAAGCAAAGATTTCCTTCAGCATCCTTGTATAAACGACCTACACGATCCAATTCAATGCGTGAACCTTCTTTAAGAATTCTGTTCCAATCCATCACCTTCGCTCCCACCTGAGTATTGGCTTGATCAAAGGTTAGCTTATTGCACAGTGAAAATTCATTGACCAACAATCCGTCATTATTGACCAATTGTTTATTGAACAACAACGACTTGCGCGGAGGCATCATCGTTCCTTTGTCGTAATCAATTCTCGCCGAAACCGACTTGGCTACAAAACCACCAAATCCAGGCACGATTACACAATTGTGCTGTAACAATAAATCACCAATAAGTTGTTCAACTGTCTTCATCTCTACAAAAATAGCTAAAACGCTGTATATAAACCTCTAAACCTTATACGAAAATAAGTAAAAGATGTTACAGGCTTTTTAGCACTTGTTCCACATCTTCCGGGACATCAATATTCGGAGTTTCTATGGTTGTTGTCATCACACGAATCGAATAACCATAAAACAACCAACGTAGTTGTTCCAGAGACTCAACCTTTTCCAAAAGTGAAGGCTCCAGATTTACTAGTTCTTTTAAGGTTGATTTTCGGTAGGCATACACTCCAATATGACGCATAAAAGGAAACACATTTTTTGCTTCTTCTTTTGCATGATATGTATTCGGAATCGGGCTTCGAGAGAAATACAAAGCATTTCCAGATTGATCGCAAACGAGTTTTATACGATTCGGGTTTTTCAAGTCATCTTCTGTCACTTGCTCAATCCCCAATGTTGCAATTTGAACTTCAGGATCGTCAAAGGCAGCACAAAGTGTGTCGAGTTGTTTAAAATCGATCAACGGTTCGTCGCCCTGAATGTTAATCACCACATCGGCATCCACTTGTTCGGCTACTTCACCACAACGATCTGTTCCAGTTGTGTGTGCTTCAGAT